TGTATGTCCCGCAAGAAGAAATGAAAAAGGTTGGACGCAATTAACTTCATTATAAGTATGTTTAGCAATCAACTGCGGTAACATTATATGTTCTTTTGGCACTTTATCCCTTTTATTAAAAATCCATACTGAATCATTAATGTTAATGCGGATATCTCCTAATAAATTGAAATTGAAAATACAACATTTAAGTGTTAATCTTAATATATAATAGATAATTTTTAAAAATCAGAAATATACATACGTCTTGGTGTGGGCATATTAGATCTATTGTGAACTGTCAAATCATCTATAATTATATGAGCTTCAGGTTCATAAACTCCTGTTACTGAGTGTGTAATAACTTTATGTAAACGTATATCAAAAATCTCATAGTATTCAGTAACACTGTTTGTAATGCTGGATAAGTGGTTTAATATTGTTGTTAAAACTTTTTGAATAATAAAATTTTTATTCTTAAAAAATATATTCAAAAAGAAAACCTGTCTTTAATCAGGAATCTCATGACTCCATTAGCTCCTGATGTACCATTATAAAGAGGAATTGATGGACGTATACCATCACTACCTCGAGGACCCGAAAAACCACCTAATATGCATAAAGTGAATAAACATTGCTTAAAAATATTTAATAACCATATTTGTATTTATACCTGGGTTAGTATAGTAATTAGTATGGGCTATTCGGTCTCCTCTATAGTTAGTGGAATAAGTGGTTTCTGACCAAGAATAACTACTGCCACCGCGACCACCTGGACCTCCACTACCTGCAAATATTATAATTATAAATTATTAAGCAAAAGTACCAAACCAGAGTAACAATTATACAAGCTAGGTTGTTAATTGGTTGGCTTGAACTAGTCATCAACGCACTCCAACTTGGGTTGAAGCAGTCAGAGTATACCACTCCATTAACAACTCTAATACAAGCAGTACCTGGTGTCCCATGACGGCCAGCATTTCCTACATTAATTAATAGTAATATTAAATACATATTATATATTTCCGTCTAGATTAAACAATAGTGAAAATTATATTACCTCCTTTTCCTCCGTTGACATTTAAACTGTAATAAATACTTGGAGTCCATGATGTCACAAATAGTATTAGTAATCCAGCATCTGTATCATTCACGCGTAAGGTGATTGTGCCACCACTTCCACCATCAGCACCACTTTAAATACAGACATAATTAAAAATCAAAAAAGTTTATAGTAACAGATGAATTAGAATTAACGCAAACCTAGTTCCAGCACCTATGAATTTTTTTTTAAAATTATTATTGAAGTACATCAATAGGTAGTTATTTTAAGCAATAACAAAAAAATTCTTTTACCTGCATCACCACCATCACCTCCTCTTCCTCCATTTGTCCCACTAGTGTATCTTTAATATTAACAAAAATCATTTAATGCTTTAATATTTTTTGACTAGATTAAATTCATATAAAATATCACACAAAAATAATTTGATCTACCTAGTAGCATCGATTCCGGGACTACCTCTAGCACCATTGCCTGAAACAAAAGTTTTTAAGTTCATATATCAGAACGCTTACGATAATAAAGTATTGATAAAATACGAACCACCATCTCCACCATAACCACCACTTCCTCCATCACCTCCTCGAGCTTAGGTACATAATATACGATGATTGCATTATATATTGATTTGTTTATACAGTATTAAATTTTGAAAATCGAAATTAGGAATTTGAATTTTTATTTGTTACCTCTTAGCGCAAAATAATTAACATTAGTGCATAAGTAAGCCTTTTCATAAGCAGAAGCAACATATCCTGGTGATCTATATTGGCCTGAAAACTTAATTGAGGCGCCGATACTATTATCTCTATAAATTATTAGCATATTGAAAAAAGGGTTAAATCAGAATAAAAAGGGAAGTATCATTGAAAGTAATTAAGGAAAATCGAACATTTCGGTTATATTCAAATCGATATCTGTTATAATTATAAATGTAGATTTTTTTGAATTAGATTTCTTTGTGTATTTAATAATAATGAAATTAATCTATTCTACCTCCAGCGTCTATTCCTTTAGTCGGATTCGTGGCATCACTTCCGTGGTTACCATCTTTTGACCTTCCACTATAGATTGCTGCATGTCTTCCATTTATTCCGTTAGCACCATGAGAACCGGATACATCAAGTATGGTAGTCATTTGGGTTAGGATGCAGTATTATAAGGCTTTTTGGATCAATTATTAAATTCAAAAATCGAAGTTTAATTAAGAAGTTTTTTAAATCATTGTAGAACGGCATAATATAATAATACATAATAATGCATAATAAAAACATACTTTAATGGATCATCTGTTAAGGAATATAGACCAGTAAAGATATGAAGTTTGATCAGAGGCTCTTTTAATTTTTACTTTGCTTTAATATTAGATTTTAGTATAAAATATTTTAAAAAAATAGAAACAATGTACTGAACGTCTTTATGTACGGACTTTCGGAGTATATAATCGAAATTTTTGTTTCATGTACTGTACGTTTGAAGAATCAACATCAGCACAAAGAAAGTTATATAATTCGTTACACATGCAAATTATTTACATACATATGTATTTCCTTTTAAAAAATATTATTTGTGCTTAATTTGAGATTAACCTATTGCTATATTGAGACTAAATTAATGTTTTGCGCAGATTTTTCACTTGAATATTATGTTCTTAAAAAAATACTCTAAAGGAATAGAATATAAAATATTCATCAGTGTAATTTCCTCGCTAATGTATAAAAACAAGTTTTCTTCAATTTACACCTTGCCTTCGAGATAAAGGATTTAATAAAATCCCCTCTTACCTCATTTTTTATAATCTGGAACAAACCCTAATAAAGATACCAACAACGAGAGGTCAATCTTTATAACTTGAGTTAAATAGTATTATACATATTTTATATGTCGCTCTTCAAATGGATCGTAATGTATTTTAAAATATGAAAGAAGATTATCTGTATCTTAAAGCATTTAAGTCAATTTAGATATGAATGCTCTATTCAATAAAGCTTAAAATTTTATATATTTACTCCTAAAATATATATTATAATTATATTGTACAACTTAAATAATAAAATAATCTTTCATTTATATCTTTTTGGCGTTTAAAGGTAAAATCAAAAATATTACGATAATACAAACATGATAATCAAATAAATACCTTCTTTGGACTTTGATTATTTTACTTCTTTGCCTTATCAGATTATATGATATCAAGTGAAACGGAAAAAAAATTACAAGTATTATTGGGATTGTTAGCCTTTATTTATATAGTAAAGAAACAAGTCAAATAATATTTTAAAGTGGACATACAGACAGTGTTTAATATCTAATGTTCTCAATGTTCTCAAGAACATTTAAAAAAATTTGAGAACACTGTATCTAAAAATTATATTCTCTTTTGAGAACAATCTGAGAACATAAAATTTATAAATTATGTTCTCATAATATATATATTAAAATATTATAATTACTTTTTTTTTTTATCAAGAACATTAAAAAAATTTGAGAACATAAAATTATCAATTGATGTTCTCAAAAGACAAAAAAATATTTTACACTGCATACAGAGACGCATCGATGAATGAAACTATATTTAGAATTTTTGAATTATTATTATCTATTATCAAGACCGCCAAAAAAAATTATAGTAATAAAGAAATATTTAAAATCATATAACATATTACCAAATTTTTTATCAGAAATGTTATTATTTATAGAAAATAACTAATAAATTATTTGCCAATTGTATAGTTAACTAATTCTTTGTAGACTATTGAGAGCAAGTGCTACACCGTTATCTAATTATCTAATTACTGTGCTTAATTTTTGATATCGATTTCGATGCACTCACTTACAAAGTAGCTTCTGATAGTGCAGTTGCCAATTTTTGGAAATTTATTTCAATGACACTCATCAATAAAAAAATTTTTTAGCAATCCATTATAATTGTTGTGATTTCATAGATATTTAAATAAATTTTATTTAGATAACTTCGGAAGTGTAATTTATAATTAGATTATTAGAGTGCATCGCTATATTCATAAATTTCGAGGCTACACTTAATTTATATAATTTAGAAAAATTTTTATTTTCTTTTGGAATATATAAATCTTATGACCAATATCTTAAAAGAAATGATATCATCCTAACAAAAATTTTCGTTCAAATGTTACCAGTATGGTTGTGTTACAGAAATTACAATTTTACATTTCATGTAATTTCTGAATTTTACGTAACTTGAATTTCATGTAAATTTAACACGTGATATTATATGCCAGCACTATGAAAACTTTAGCCAAAATTATCAAATACGCAAAAATTGTATCAAAAAATTAATTCTAATTCTTATTATTATTAGAGATTTATAATTTTGTCGAATCATTTTTTCCGTATTGGTTTGGTGGGTGTTGTAAAAGTATAGATTGGTTCTGGATAGAACTCGTCCGGAAGTCTGGTTACACAAAGGTTCGGGATTAACTAATATAAATATAAATAATTCGAAGTAATCCAAAAATCCAACTAAGAGGTAACCCTAGCTTGGATAAGGCTTGAAAGAGGCGGGTATAACTTGGTCCGAGTTTAGGGTTACTTTGGGTAAGTATTATGGTTACAGAAGTTGGGTCTATGGATTGTCTTTGTCACGTTTATCGGAAGTCGCGGTTTTGTTATGATTTGGTCACGATTTGGTAACAATTTGGGTGTCACGGGGGTTCGAATTATTGGCGGGCCGTTTTAACAATTACGATATTTGATCATTTGTTTTATCAATTTAAGGGTACTATAAAAAGGTTGTGATATAACAATTGGGATTAGAGATGGGCCACTGCGCAGCCTGTGCATTATTTCACTGCGCAGGCTGCACAGAATTTTTGATAGACTGCGCATTGTGATTTTTAAAATTCAGGCTAGCTAGTATAATTCTGGTAGCTGGCATAACTCTTGCCAACTGAAATAGAATTATATCTCTACTATATATAATGCGCAGGCTGCGCATCCTGCGCAGAAAATTTGAAAAATTCACGATTTGCTCACCCCTAATTGGGATACTTTTACTCTAACTAGAAACTTGGTATCAATGAGAATTTATCACTGGGACAAGATAGAAAAGATTAATGATTCAACAAAATGATTTATAAATATTTAAAAGAGAATTTATTTTAGGAACAAACACTCTATTCAAGACTTATTCAAGACTCACAAGGTTTTTCAAACTCTGAGAGTTATTTTTTTATTGAAGCAATTTCGAAGCACTTATATACAAAATCTTAATTAATGGAGAATATAGCGAGGATATCAAGGTTCTTAAGGATCCCTAATATATCTAATATATCAACTATAACTAATATAACTAATATATATAATATATTTAATATAACTAATATAACTAATATATATAATATATTTAATATAACTAATATAACTAATATAATTAATATATATAATATATTTATTTTTTTTTTCTACTTAGGCAATCTTGTCCTTCATTTTATTAGGAGAATCATCAAAAGATAATACAGGCAATATAAAATATTACATCTTAACATAATACTTTACTATTCTCCTTGTTGCAATTTAGAGCTAATTCAGCTATTCAGATAGTGTCCAAGTTCAATCTACTGCAGAAGCATTTTATCTCCTATTAGTAACATACTATCAGAGTAGTATAGGTTACTAATAATCAAAAAAAGGCAACTTCTAGCTTACATCAAGATTCTAGGTCCCTTCTAATCTAATCTAAGATTAAACTAAAAGTTGTTAATACCTAGTTCCAAGATGGAAAAAATAAAAATTGTTACAAATAATAAAAAGCAGAAAAGTTATATGCTATAAGAACTTAAGCTAGAATAGCAAGAAAAACTTGCTAACAAGTAAAAAGCTTGCTATTAAAGTATAGGCAAAAACAAACAAAAAAGAAAATAAAACAAACAGAAATTTTCTTTTTGATGTAAAAAGAAAAAAAAAAAAACCTCCCAAAGTAGTTCTATTCAAAAGCAAGCTTAAAGATAAGCATTACTATTAAAAATTATATATACTGTTGCTACTTATATATATGTCTCTATAGTATTAACTAATTTCATCAAGTCTATTCCTTACTTGTTCAACAGAGTATGGCTTCATGTAATTCTCTAACAAAGATGTCAATAGAAGTTAACTTATAGCATGTGGCTATACATGTTTGCAAGTTGTTGTTGTTTAGTAGTATACAATATGACTTTTCCAAAATAGATATAGTATGAATATAGATCATTTAGTAGAGGTAAGCCAAATTTCCACTTTTTGCTGTTAAAAAACAAAGAAAAACAATTCTAAGTCCAAAAATCTAGTTGTTGTAAATAAAGAAAGCAGTTCTTTAAAAAAATAAAACTAAGAGAGTAGTTATATGCTTAACCTAGTACAAGCATAGTTTGAGTTCTTCTTATACTTCTTCTTTTCATTATCAACACCTTTTTACTAAACTAACTTAAAGTCACTATACCAAAGTCAGATAGCTAAAGAGTCTAGTGCAATCTTGAAACTAACTTGTTGCAGTTCTTGCTACTAGTTTATTACAGTCTTATAGTTTATTTCTCGTGTAGTCAGTCACTTTAAGTAGTTTTACTAATACTAGTGCAAAAAAAAAATTTTTGTTGTCTTGTTGTATTGGTTTTGATAATTGTTAGAAAGAGTTGATTTTATATTATATAATATATTTAATATAACTAATATAACTAATATATTTAGTAAGATGCAAATCACTAACTCTTTCTAATGATCACTTGTACCAAATTCTCTTGAAAAAAACTTGCAATATCTTAAAATTCTACTAAGTAAACTACCTTTGGCTGCTTAAGTAAAATTGTTCTACATACAATTTTACATCTAGGCAATATAGTTTTATATCTTGTAACTGGCTCTTTAACAAGATATTCTAGCTAAAGCGTAGGAACGTTCTACAGCTAATATCTCAAAATTTTATTAAGTATTTGGCCTCTCTTACTTAATACAAAAAGAACCAGCATATTCTCAGCTTCATTTTGATATATAATACATTAAAAACGGTCTGATATTTAATTTTTTATTCAAAAAACTCTAAAATTATTTTTGCAAAAAATTTGTTCTTTTTTTTTGCAAATTTTGGGAAATTCTCCTTGACCTGGTTAACCCCAACACGTTTCA